GGAAAGAGAAAGGAAAAATTTAAATCGCATCATATGGCCCCTTTAAAATCTTTAAGAATTTATAAACAAAATACTTTTCTTTGTGATATATTTGATTAATTTAAATTCATTATATATACAAATAATGACAGTAGGCCAATTGTTTCGTCTGTTTCGTCCAAAAACATGACAAAAAACAACAAAATGACTAAAACTTTTAACTAAAATTTAAATGAAAACAGAAAATATGTACTAAAATAACACTGAAGGAGACCCAGGATAATGAGGACATGAGTCACAAGTCAGTATTGGAGAGTGATATGTTAAGATTAAATCACAAAATAAATATAAATGCAGACATGTCTGGGTGAGAGATTCAACAATGTACACTGACAGGATGATATCGGCAGGGAGTGCCTCCTCATAATGTCCTCAAACCATAGCCTATCCCCTCTTCTTGGAGTTTGAAGTTAAAATAGACAGTATACGTGCTGCAGTACCATGCTGCAGTCATTCACCCTGCCCTGCCACCCTCAGGGCTTCCTGTCTAGTCTGCAGACTCACCCACATAGAATAAAATCACAGTAATTACTTGTTCCAAATTAAGACCCCTGAGACACATTCAGGCAAAGGGCATAGGGAAGGGGAGAGAAAAGTTCAAGCTGCATTACAACCTGAGCTGAAAACATGTATGACCTTTTTCACACTAATCCACACCATGCCAAAGTGATAACACGCCTAATTGATAAAAGAATTTATTCACACAATATTATTTTACATTTATGTTTCTAGTCACTTAGTAGTGGAGTAGATTTATCACCTCTGATTTGAATCACTCATTTGTACACTTCTTCATATTAAAGTTACAGTAATGTTCAAGCTAGATAGAGACTTTAGCATCTCATAGTCTCGCATATTAGTCTTTTAGTGAGTCAAAATGGCAATAAAAATAAATGATGAAACGTTTCTGTTTGTGTAAAAGGAAGGCAATAATTGTTTCCCAGAAATCAAAGCTGAAATCAAGAAGTCAGGCTGCAGTGTGTTTTTGATGGAAGTGCTTGTTTAGAGAGAAGATGGTCGTGATTGAGCTGGAAGCCCAGTGGGATCTAGTGCTACGTGCCGTTTGGCGGTTGCTGCATGTGACTTAAACACCCACTAAACAACCCGCACACACAGATAACACACTCAGCTACAGGATGAAAAAATATGAGATGAGGAGAACAAACATACTGCTAGCTTTCAGGAGAATCAAGCTCTTTACCTTTAGACAACTGTTCTGTTTGCCAGCAATTATACAGTATATGACAACATGTACATATACTACTGCTTAAAAGTTTGGAGGCAGATTGTTATTTTAAAGAAATTAATACTTTTATTTTGTTATATTGTTACAGAAAGTTAAATGCTTTTTTTTAACATTCATCAAAGAATCCTAAAAAAAAATGTATCACAGTTTCCACAAAATTATTAAGTAGCACAGCTGTTTTCAACACTGATAATAATAGGACATGTTTCTTGAATACCAACCCATCATATTAGAATAGTTTCTGAAGGATTATATGACACTGAACATTGGAGTAATGGCTACTGAAAATTGAGCTTCGCCCTCACAGGAAAGTATATTATATTTTATAGTAATTTTAATAGAAAACAGTTCTTTCGAATAATATTTTAAAAATATTACTGTTTTTACTGTATTTCAATCAAATGTGATGCCTTGGTGAGCATAAGAGACTTTAAAAAAAAAACATTATTTTAGATTTTATCAACAATAAAATTATAATAAATTATGAATACATTATAAATCTATAATACAAATTTGACATTGTTACATTTATGTGTAGTTATTAGTATACAGTGATAATATATATTTATATATAATTATTTTTTTAATAAGAAAAACCCTGGTATATATCTCCAGGTATTAACCCTAGAGTAATAATCATTATTATTTTTCCATTTTACCACTGTTCCCAAGAATCTACCCAATACTATCAGTGAAGCATAGAGTACCCCTCAGTTCTGCCTGGTTACAGTGATGGGGAAATGTTGTTCTCGTGTCCAGATAGACTGTACCTCAACTGAGCTGTTAGACACATGGCCTCTATCAGACAGACAGGCTCAGACTTGTCTACCCATACAGATCTCTCTGTTTTGTATGTTTAGACAAGTTTCTGTGCTTAGGATCAAAGGGCCAATGTGGACTTTTGTCTGTACAGGGTCCTTTGGTGCTTTCGCAGCAGGAGGGTGGAGACTAGTAATTGGGGCTGAGAGCATGAAAGCCCAAGTGCACTGTGTTCAAAAGAGTCTTAATTAACAAACTCTAAAGACATCCCAGAGGGCATGGATACACATTTATATTTATACAAATATAAATGTGAGTGACAGATTGTGTTCTACCAAGATTGATGCTGAGTTGTCAGCGACATACAATGATGAGACTTGGCAGCATAATGCCCTACAGTAATTCACGTGCTGTGCAGTGGACTGGTGGCAAGGTGGGGGCCCGATGACAATGGGAATTGAGAACACAGAGGGGACCTTCAAATTTGGCTGACCCACTTTCTCCTTCGCCTAAATGAACCAACAATAGTAGGGGGGTCCTACTGCCAAAGCAGGGCTGTTTGTGCCTGTGTCTGCCAGACTGGCCCCGTTCATTTGCTCTGTGTACTCACGCTCACGTTGTCTGGCAGCAGATGAAGCTCCACGTGAGAGATTGGCTGCTTGTGGCATGGGGGGGGATGGGGGGGGGCTGTGTGGACCAGCCTTAATAAACCAGACTTCAATACGCTTCCCCAGTTCAAAATATGTCTATTCTTCAAATTCAACTTACATGTAGTCTATAAGTCACATCTGGTTCAAAATTGTTTATTTAGTGACAATGCCAGTTTTCTGCTGTTTGTTGAATTATTTGCACAGAGCAGGGAGGGTATCCCCAAAAACCCTTTTGCATTCCTGCAGGCAGTGTGTGGGTATGTGAATAGAGTCATTACTGCCACTTGATCAGACTGTTAGGCCCCATTTCCAGGCCACTAGGTTCAGCCATAAAAACGTGACTTAATTAAAGTTCTGCATAATGCTCAGTTGCGCTGTCACATTCTCTTTTTAATGCCTAATGGTGTCATTTCCAAGTCTATCATTGCCACTAATTTCCTGATTAGGTATTGTTTGTCATTTGTCAGGTGGGTCTAATGCAGTTGATGGCGATGGTGGAGTCCCTGCTGCAGCTGCTTCTGTCATTTTACACGAGTCAGGTGCATCGCGTGGAGGAGCTGCGTTCTCTTCTTGAGGCTCAGCTCATGTCAGGTATACAGGCACTGAAGGTTTTGCCCCCTGTACAGCAGATACTGGCTCTGCCTATCCAGGTACGCACTATCATGAATGACCTACTGGAACTGGGACAGATTCTCATACAGTTGCTCATCAACACCACCCCACTCTATGACCTGGTGAGAACACACACACACACACACACACACACATACAAGAAAAACACTCTAGAACCTGTTCTAATGCAAAAATTCAAAAACTTCCAAGTACATGTTCTAGTGACAAAGAACACTCTAGAATCATGTTATGAGGCAAAGCAATTGTCTCTATCAGTCTAAACATAATTTTCTTTTTTGCCAAACACATCTGTTTAGCGTTGATAGGATGAACAAAGCTAAATATATCACTCTGTGTTCCCATAAAAACTAAATGAGTAAATCTGTGTCTCATCATAGTGTGTTGCATTAATCACATGGCCTGGTTTGTTTTCTCTTCAGGTAACCATGTTTCTTTTCAGTAATGAGAAAAGTGTTTGTGGAATGATGGGTTTGCTTTTTTCTTTTCTTTTTTAACACAGATAATTTTAGATCAGGTACATAATGCTTTCAAGACACTGTACAACTTAATTAAACTTCAATCACTTATAAGAACTGTTGTAGTCTAAAAACACTTATTTTCGGTTTCAGACTGTTTAAATGGGTTTGAAGCTCAAACCAAATTGGCAATATTTTGACTTTTTGTCTGTAAACAGTTCTGTTTTCTGAAATTAGCAAAATGCATTTTAATTAAAAAAAAGACAGCATAAAGGGGTGTAACTCTGGTCTGACAGGTGGGGTGAGGTGAAGGTAATAGTCAGTTTTCATTTCAGCGACAACACACCATTCTAATATGTAATGGATTATCGAAATTAAAACAAGACAAAGAACATATTTATTTCAGGAAATTACATGCAAAGAATTTATTTAAGTTGCATATCTTGAGCATCTTAAGAAAAATATACAATTCCAAAAGTTTCAAATGTGTCAATTACTGTATGTGTATTATATAACAAAATTAGTAAAAAAGAACAATACATAAACTTGTACTAAAATGTACATTAACATAAATGGTCATTTAAGAACAAATGAACAAATTACAAGCAATAGCACAAATTTTTCAGGTATGTCTAACAGTCTTTAGGTATGAAATACTATAATGTATACATTTAATATATATTTTAGTCCTTATTAAAGCTAAAGGAGTTATTCAGTAAAGAGCAGATTTGAGCAGTGATCTTTTTCTTTTGTTCAACAAATATAATAAATTAAATTAAACATTTCAAAATAATCAAAGTAAGTATCAGAGTCTTGGATTACGACTTTTTTTTTTAAATTCTCTCTTTGTCATTTATCTTAGTTTTATAATCTGTAATGCACTGTGGTCAACTCCTGTTGTGTTTATTTGTGCTATAAGTAAATTAAATTAAATGACTGTTCCTCTCTTCCCCCTCAGGTAAAACAGGTTTCTGATCTCGATGCAGCAAACAATCCAATTTCAGGTGAACTTCCTGAGAGTCCCTCCAGCCGTGCCTCTGCAAACAGCCTCTTCCTCAAGGCCATGGACGGTCGCCCGCGTCGCCGCAGAAGCCTTTACGCCCGCTCCCGTCGCGGGTCTGCCAGCGGGCTGCCATCAAGCCCAGCTCTCTCCCCAACTCCTACCCCAGTCCCAAATGGCCGTAAAGGCAGTTTGAAGCTAGATTCCCAGCCTTCAGGCACTCCAGAAATTGATACACTGGCTGTGCCCACCACTGATATGATCCGCCGTCGTTCCTCAGCAACCGAGGTCCTGCTGGCTCCCATTATGCAGTTAGTAACACAGAGCCAACGGGCGTTTGAGTTTCTGAGCTCTGGCCCTTCATCTGAAGATCAGGTCATACCTGTGGTGGAAACCACAGAACATTAGGCTCCACTTTTCTCAAACGTAATCAGAGCATTCAAACGCAGATCGCTGCATCTCACAGGCTGTTATGGATAGTACAGCAAACATACCTTCAAACAACAATCCATACAGTGGCTTCTGTAGTAGGCCTACAAAAACAAATCTGGTGACTAATTATTAAATAGCATCATTAGCCGAGCATTCAGTACGTGTAGATGGTTTAAAATAAAGCATTGTTTTAGTTACTTGGAATCAAAACAGTACATATTTGCACTCTGAAGTGCCGTTTGGGTATGCAGTATTTTTTTAGCTTTGAATGCCTGTTTCTAGAAGTTAGGACAAAAAAAAACAACTTAACAAATGAGCAGAAATGACAGAGCACCTTTTTTCTATATATATTATTATTAATAGCATGTAACACATTTTGTTTAGACCAAATAAAACTGTTTCTATTCTTCAGCTTTCTTAGTTCTTATACACTATAAGCAGTTTTTAATCTGTAGACTGTCAATGAATGACTGATAGTTAGATCAGTGCACTGAGAGAAACAAGATGATGCAAGGATTCTGATCAGTTGGAAATTAAACGTTTGAAAATTGGTTTGACATGCAGTCCAAGGTCACTCATGTTTAATCGAGAGGAGAGGATAAGATGCTGTTAATGTTACTTTGATTATTCATGGTGTGTTTTATGCTTTAAGATCAAGGATGTGTAATTACTGAGTGAGAAACAAAGTGAAGTGTGTTATACATAGACAGGCATGTAATGTCACTAAATGGTGTTTAGTGACTTCGAAGACATTTATCCTAACAGCCTTTGTCCTGCAGTACTTTTTTCCTATAACAAATGTTATATTTACTTTAAATGTAATAAAACATTTTATAAAATGTTATTGTTGTTTTGAGCGATTTTTGAGTATAGAATGAATAGCTGATTGTGTAAAAAAGTTAAAGGTCCCTTGGTTAAATTGTAATAATATTTCACAATATTAACATTTTTACTGTTTTTGTTTAATAATTAGCTTAAGAGACAGTACTACTGTTCAAAATTTTGGGGTCAGTAAGATGTTTTTGAAAACATTCAAATGTAGTCTAAATGTTTAATACAAGAAATAAAAAAAACAGTAAATATAATCAAGGCATGTTTTGTTTTTTTGTTTTTTTTCACTTTATTGAAATCAATCGTTGAAACACAAGCAATAAAAACATTCCAAAAAAGGTCTAACCTAATGACAGCGTGTTTATATACAAAAGTGAAAGATTCAAATATATACACGTTAATAACATGTACAGACACTCTTAATATCTCACTCTGAATTTCTTTATATGTCACTCTTAAGTTAAGAACAATAAAACAATAACTCTAACAGTAACTATGTTGGCATACACATCAATGGACAATAAAAGCTCAAGCTTAAGTCATGTGGATTCTGATTGGCTGTCCAACAATATTGTTTGTATCATTCATTAGAATGATTATTAAAAGTTTATAGTTACAGTTATCATCCTTGGTGTGAACAAGCCTTTACTGGAGTTGCATTTATACTACCACCAACCTCAAAAAAAAAAATCCAGGAAACGATGTTATGGAAATTACAATATATACATAAAATATCTATATACATTTTACTACATATAGTCTCCTCCCAATTGCCACATTTAATAATTCACATCTAAATGGCAGTGGAGGCTCAAATGGGAACAATGCAGGGAAGATATGCATCTGTTCAGAGCTGAAGGATCTTTCTGTGAGAAATGTCAAGGACTACGACAGATCCGGGCCATCTCTTGGTTCATTTCAATACACATACCCAGTGACCAACTTACATCAAAGCCCAGGATCACTTATTTTCAGCACATCTTTTATCGCCTTGCTGTAACAAACTTAATCTGCTTTTCTTCACCATAATGCTGGGCTCTGAACTTTTTCTGTCTTCTTATACTTTTCCTTCCACCATCCATGAGGGTTAATAAGGCGAAAGTGTCTCCCTTCGGCCCCAAAAACCCATCAGCCGGGGTCCTCTTCTCAGCTATTTAGATGCTAGGCTGCCAGGGGCCTCATATCTTCATCTTGCTCAACATCTCTCAATTTTTTGAAACAACTCTCGTTTCTTTCCAAACACTGCAGACACGCTTCTGACTATACCCTTGATTCCAACCATTCCCTTTTTAAGTGCTTTGGACTCCTTGATGAGGTTCAGGATTTCGTGAAAAACCAGCAGCACACCGTGGTAGGTTTCCGCCGCCGAGATCTCGAAGAAGCCGCAGTCTGCCGAGAGGGCGAACAGTCTGCCCTCCTCACTCGACACGGCTCTCTGATGCAGCAGGTCTCGCTTGTTCCCCACGATGATGATTGGGGTAGATGCGGACAGCTTCCTAGTCTGACGGATGAGCTGCACCTGTTGCCGGACCACCTCGAAGCTGGAGCGATCACAGATGCTGTAGACCAGTATCACACCGTCTGCCCACTGCATCTGCTTGTCACTGATGGATTCAGTTGTTTCGCAGCTCTGGAGAATCAGAATTCAGAGGGTCAAATCACATTAACTTCAACAAGAAAGTATGATCCAAAAAAACCTGAATAAATGCATACGTTTTTAATCTTTATTTTCAGCATAATTAAATATAATTAAAAAAATTAATTCATGTCCACTTCACACATACATAAAGTATAAAATTCAATATGATTATTATTCTCACTGTATTTTACTAATTATGCTTTTCCTTTTTTCCTATTTAAGCAACCTTCCTCAGCTTAAAAACTATTTTGATCATTAGAAATATTAATTCAGTCAGGTGTGTTTAAACTTTTTTTTGGTACTGCATGTATAATTTCAGATTTATTTACCCTAACACTATATATATATATATATATACATAAATAAATAAATAAAGACAAAAAATATTAATAAAGAGCCTACCAATTTAGTACAAATATAAGGTAAATAAACTTTTTTTAAAACTTTTTGTAAACACAATTACATTTATCAACAAAATATAAAATTGACACTCACAAACCATATTTTTATTAATTTGTTTGTTTGTTTTTTAACTGCATGGAGAGCGCCTTAAATCATGCTTGTTTTGTTTGCATTCGTACAGCGATAAACAAAAGGTTTAAAAAAAATAGTTGGGATACAACTACAACTTAGGCCATTAATATATTCCAGAGATGTCGTTTTTAATATTTTTTATTTAAAAGTTTGTTATATGAAGGTATACGTTTTACGGTTTTTCGTATATGGTGGAAAAGTCTTTCTAATTAGATTGATTTGCTATTTTTATGTTTTGTTTTTTCAAACGATGTTATTTAACCAGGTCCCTCTAGAATTTAAATCTTAAAATTCCACTATTATAATCTAAAGAAAGAGTACAATTAAAAACATCAACCATTTTAAATGCGGTATTTCACATTATTGCAGCACAACTGGTGGGGGTGGAACAAATTACACAAATTCATATATATATGTGTGTGTGTGTGTGTGTGTGTGTGTATAGTAAGACTGATGCTTGCCTTAAGCGCCAACGAGTTCAAATTCACAAACAGCAAATTCATGCAACCTAAGGATCATCGCGTCCTCTGCTGGAATCAGAGCTACATCGCCTTAAATCATGCTTGTTTTGTTTGCATTCGTACAGCGATAAACAAAAGGTTTAAAAAAAATAGTTGGGATACAACTACAATTTAGGCCATTAATATATTCCAGAGATGTCGTTTTAATATTTTTCATTTAAAAGTTTGTTATATGAAGGTATACGTTTTACAGTTTTTCGTATATGGTGGAAAAGTCTTTCTAATTAGATTGATTTGCTATTTTTATGTTTTGTTTTTTCAAACGATGTTATTTAACCAGGTCCCTCTAGAATTTAAATCTTAAAATTCCACTATTATAATCTAAAGAAAGAGTACAATTAAAAACATCAACCATTTTAAATGCGGTATTTCACATTATTGCAGCACAACTGGTGGGGGTGGAACAAATTACACAAATTCATATATATATGTGTGTGTGTGTGTGTGTGTGTGTGTATAGTAAGACTGATGCTTGCCTTAAGCGCCAACGAGTTCAAATTCACAAACAGCAAATTCATGCAACCTAAGGATCATCGCGTCCTCTGCTGGAATCAGAGCTACATGACAACATTGATCTAATAATGCGAATAATTTGCAACCCACATGCACAAATAGATCTTGGCAGATCAAGGCATAAAGTGACCAGAGAAAGAAATTTGACCTTGGATGAAGTAATCTGTTTAATACACATCTTACTTTAAGGCAAATCTAAATAAGCAAAGTACTATAAAAAACAGAAAGTGGTCTGGTTTCCTCTTCACAAGAAAATACAGAAGATTTTTTTGCGACTTTAAAAGTAATGACTGAGGCACTTCATTATTCAGCAGCTGCAGTGTTTCCACAGCCATCTCTCTCCTTCCCTTCATCAGAGCAGGATTTCTTTGCAGCTGTACCACAGTTTGCCGTGAAAAACTCTCGCATGCGTTTCAAAGTGTTTCTGTGCTTCTCTCGTTCAGCCTCTGTCTCTGGTGTTCTGCTTGGTTCTTTGCTGCTTGACTGATTTAGAAGAGAAGCATGGAGACTCTTCCCAAAAGATTCATTCAGCTGTTGCTGGAAAGATTTTTTAAGTTTGACAACCATGTTTTTCCTCTGTAGAAATAACAAAAATAGCATGTCATTGTTGTATAACATTCAATTCGATGATTATTAGGTATGAATTCGCAGCTCTTAAAGTTTTTTGGGTGTTAGTATCAATGTTAGTCTTAAGGTTATCTATAAGGCAGTGTGCTCCAAAACAGTGACAAAATTCGCATTTAGAAGATATAAGCACTCAAAGCTTGCAGTTCGTCACTTCCGCCAAAACGGCTCAATGTTTTGTTTTTTTTTATGTCACATCGTACTTCAGCTTCTCATCAAACTTTCTGTCCAATCAAATGCTCACTAGAATCCGAAGTGCCCGCCCCCTACACTATAAAATGTTTGCATTCGTACAGCGATAAACAAAAGGTTTAAAAAAAATAGTTGGGATACAACTACAACTTAGGCCATTAATATATTCCAGAGATGTCGTTTTTAATATTTTTTATTTAAAAGTTTGTTATATGAAGGTATACGTTTTACGGTTTTTCGTATATGGTGGAAAAGTCTTTCTAATTAGATTGATTTGCTATTTTTATGTTTTGTTTTTTCAAACGATGTTATTTAACCAGGTCCCTCTAGAATTTAAATCTTAAAATTCCACTATTATAATCTAAAGAAAGAGTACAATTAAAAACATCAACCATTTTAAATGCGGTATTTCACATTATTGCAGCACAACTGGTGGGGGTGGAACAAATTACACAAATTCATATATATATGTGTGTGTGTGTGTGTGTGTGTGTGTATAGTAAGACTGATGCTTGCCTTAAGCGCCAACGAGTTCAAATTCACAAACAGCAAATTCATGCAACCTAAGGATCATCGCGTCCTCTGCTGGAATCAGAGCTACATGACAACATTGATCTAATAATGCGAATAATTTGCAACCCACATGCACAAATAGATCTTGGCAGATCAAGGCATAAAGTGACCAGAGAAAGAAATTTGACCTTGGATGAAGTAATCTGTTTAATACACATCTTACTTTAAGGCAAATCTAAATAAGCAAAGTACTATAAAAAACAGAAAGTGGTCTGGTTTCCTCTTCACAAGAAAATACAGAAGATTTTTTTGCGACTTTAAAAGTAATGACTGAGGCACTTCATTATTCAGCAGCTGCAGTGTTTCCACAGCCATCTCTCTCCTTCCCTTCATCAGAGCAGGATTTCTTTGCAGCTGTACCACAGTTTGCCGTGAAAAACTCTCGCATGCGTTTCAAAGTGTTTCTGTGCTTCTCTCGTTCAGCCTCTGTCTCTGGTGTTCTGCTTGGTTCTTTGCTGCTTGACTGATTTAGAAGAGAAGCATGGAGACTCTTCCCAAAAGATTCATTCAGCTGTTGCTGGAAAGATTTTTTAAGTTTGACAACCATGTTTTTCCTCTGTAGAAATAACAAAAATAGCATGTCATTGTTGTATAACATTCAATTCGATGATTATTAGGTATGAATTCGCAGCTCTTAAAGTTTTTTGGGTGTTAGTATCAATGTTAGTCTTAAGGTTATCTATAAGGCAGTGTGCTCCAAAACAGTGACAAAATTCGCATTTAGAAGATATAAGCACTCAAAGCTTGCAGTTCGTCACTTCCGCCAAAACGGCTCAATGTTTTGTTTTTTTTTATGTCACATCGTACTTCAGCTTCTCATCAAACTTTCTGTCCAATCAAATGCTCACTAGAATCCGAAGTGCCCGCCCCCTACACTATAAAATAGATGCTGAAGCCGCGGCTGAAATCGGTAGGGATGGGCGATACTACTTATTTTGTTTTCGATACGATACCGATATTTTTCAAGGCAGTATTGTCGATATCGATATCGATTCGATACTTCTGAACTAAACTTTTAAATTATGAAATGTATTAAATTACTAAGAGTAAAATGGGTAATGATAAGCACTTAACTATGTTTAAAACGCATTTTAACATTCAAACATTCATAATTGTAACTTATTAGGTTATATTTTTGTTTACACATGATTCAAATCTATAAAATCTATAATTGCACAAACTATGTAGGCTACAATTTCAGTTTGTTTATTGTGAAATAACTCTGTCCTTCTGTCCTCTGATAAGCATTGTTTAGGGCTGCCGTTCCCAAAAGCTTTAATGATTTCTTATGATACTTTTGGGAAAAGCAGCCCTGTTTGAATGTACTGTCAGAAGTGAGTGAATGCTTTCTGTGATTGATTGGTTCTGTCTTGCAACATTTGCGTGTTCAGATGAGCAGGAAAATAGTTCTATCCTACACAATTACTCGCCAACAAAGGTTATTCATCCAATTCAATGCATATTGAATTATATTTTTGTTAAATTAACAAAACCACTGGTAAATAAAACACATCTTAGTATCAATATTTTTCGTTTGAGTATCGATATGTTCGATACTTGCTTCAGTATCGATATATCGATACTTTGGATCGATACGCCCATCCCTAGAAATCGGTCACTTGTCTACAGAATTAGTATTTTCTGTACAGTGAATGGCACGTAGTGCACTATATAGGGGACAGGGAACGATTCAAACAGTGTAAATATGCTTTCCATTGAGGAAAGAAAGAAGTCTGGTTTCGCGCTGTGTCACGCTAACCACCGCACCGCACACACACTCTGCTCCGGTCCAGAGACACGATAGCACGGAGCGGATCACATACGCGAGTCGGCGCAGACCATAAAATGTATTGGAGCTATTTGAATTCTACACAGAATGCTATATTTTATAGCAATATGGATGAGATTGTAGCTGGCATACCCTGTCAAATGCGGCTTTATGGAGCTCAACGGCTCTAGCCCAAGCTGCGATATAAACGAACGCTATTGGCTATTTTAAAAAGGGGTGGGGCGGCTTGATATGTCCCGCCCTGTCTTCCCGTTTCAGTTAAAATGACGTCAACACAGAGTAACACTGCGTGTTTCTAAGCATTTAAGGTAAAGCTTTGAACTACAAAGAAGCTTAGCAGTTAAATTACACATGAATGTGATCAGCTGAATGGCAGTGATTTACCTCAGAGTTCATCATCAAGATGTCAAAAAGAGTCCAAACATCTGACACCAGCTCAGCAACAGTCCGATAAGGCGGCTTCCGTTTCCCCAGGAGTCGGCCGAGTATTATATCAAATTCGGCTGTTTTTGAGTGATTCTTTAAAAACAAAGCACAGCTCATAAGGTCATTTTTAATCTGGATCTATTTATTTATTCGAAAACACATTCAAATGTAACGCAAACAACAAAATCATGCGGTGTGACAAAGGCAGAAACATTCAGGAAAAATAAGGAAATTACATTAGAGAGGAGCCCTGAAGACTTTCATGACTGTGTATCAAGGTCAATAAGTCTATTAATATATCTAAATTTCATAAGCCTATGAAATGGAAAAGTTAGTTCAGGTTGTAAAATGTCATGTGGTACATTATAATTATTAATAAATAATTGTATTATCACGCATTATATATTTTTTTATATAATATTTTATATTATAATTAAAATATTAAGTATAGTATTTATAATATTTTATATATATTATTAAGTATAGTAACATTTATCTTTTTTTAATAATGTGAAAATACATTCTCGCATCTATTCAAATACACTCGCATGCATACAAGGTGTAACAAAAAATTTGTTTTTAATTGATAGTTACACCAAATTTAAACTTTTGTTGAAAATGGTATAAAAGTTTTTTTCAAAAACTGCACGAATACAAAGAGTATATTTGTAAAAACTTAGCACAAGTTAATCGAACATCTATCTTCACATTCTTATTTGTCATTAACTATTCAATAAACTGTCTGGAATAATATTATTACTGGAATATTATCAGTATTTGTGACTGTTTTCACATTTTAAAATTAAAAAAAGTAAATTGTGGACTGAAGAAGCTCAGGCTATGCTAAATACAACATGCACTGTGTATTTACCTTGGTGGCGCTGAAGAGCAGGCTCTTGTTCTCATCACACAGGAGACCAAAGAGAAGCTTCTCACACTTCTGAACAGAATGGATGACATTATATAATTTTAGGACAAGAGATAAAAGATGTGGCATGACACTATACTAAACTACAATCCTTTCCTAAAATATCCTTTTAAAAAGTGTTGCGAGGGTAACTATGAATGTAGATTCTTTCAGGCTGGTGGTGTCTCACTCTTTGATCTTCCAGACTCAGACTAGGCGTCCTCATCTCCTCACTGCCATACACAACTGTCTCATTTAAATCCTGACATAGCAAACACACCCATTCCTTACTGCAAGAGAAAAGAAATATACCAAGACTCAAATAGTGGACAAAGAAAAGAGTTACTGTTCTTACATGCACAAGCTTATCAAACTCCAAAGTATTATAAATCATAGATACTCCAAAATTGTAATTAGTGTCGTACAGTGTTATGTTAGTTTCTGATGGGTCTCACCAAGGTTTTGTGAGAATTGGTGGGATGTGACAGTCATAGTGAAAAGCACAGCCACATTTTGCACACAGAAGTGGAGCTCCTGCAGACAGACACACGGCACAGAACTCTACATCAGATGCCGGGGAGCTGTCGCTGTCGCTGTCTTGGGATACAGAGCAAGAAGAGGATCTAGATGGTAATGGATCTTCATGCCATCTCCACACCTGGTTAACCTGGGGAAGAACAGGGCACAATTGAGAATAGCTGTGGTGCTAACATGGCTTTATACTAAGAAGAGTCATATGTACTCAGGTCTTTCCAGCTCTACAGTGTCCTGTCCTTACCTGCCCACCCTGGGATTCCTGCACTAAGATGTGACCTGTGGAGGTATCTGTAGTAAGGTGGAACTCTGGGAGTGGCTGTCCACTTGGAGGCAGAGAGATGGGCAGACACTCAAGAGAAACACGTAGAAACCTATTCGACAGAAAACAGTGGTCTCCGATCAAAAAAAGACTTTTATTCAGCAAGGACACATTTATTTGATCAAAAGTGACATAATAATGTTACTAAATATTTCTATTTCAAATAACTGCTGTACTTTTGAACTTTCTATTCATCAAGGGATCATTAAAAAATGTATCATGGTTTTCACAAAAACATTAAGCAGCACAACCGTTTTTAACATTGATAAAAATATGTTTCTTGAGCACCAAATCAGAATGATTTCCGACGGATCAAGTGACACTGAAGACTGGAGTAATGGCTTCAATTACAAGAATAAATTTAGTTTTAAAATATATTAAAACTGAATTTACAAAAGAATAAAATGATTATTTTAAATTGTAATAATATATCACAGTGTTACTCTTTATTTCTGATTAAATAAATACAGCCTTGGTGAGCAAAGAGACTTCTTTCAAAAACTTTTGGACGGTAGTGTGAATAGTATTAACACTATTAATACTGTTAATAATATTATTAATAGTTATTACAAACATTATTTGTGACATAAATGAGGTTAATAATTCATGCGATGTAGGAAGGATGCAAATAAGCACTATAGATTCCACTATGAAGAAGGTCTTCAACCAATACTATACTATATACTATATCCTGAGTCCACCTCTTGAATTGTTTGATTTGTCTCCTGAAGTGTTCCAGCGTTACTAAAAGAGAGAGAGAGAGAGAAAAAAGAAATGAGTGAGGAAAACAAACACTATACTTTTGACAACTCTTTTGAGAAGAAAATCACCTGCAGATTCTTGGTCTTCTTTTTTTGCCTCCCTGTAGTCAAACACACTTTGGACAGTCTTGTCATGAGTTGTCCTCTGGTAGGAAAAGAAAGCTTTTGAATGAAACACAGATCTCTGACATACAACTCTCCATACGTCTATCTGTAAGAATCAAACATTCACCAACCTCCCCGTCAAGGTCTTCTGATGTGCTACAATGAGTTGAATCCGCTGGAGGTGTGATGTTCAGATTGTCTTTTGACCTGACAGGTATGCATGTTGCCTCTACAAGCTGACGGAAAGTTATCGGCATGCCAACGCTCCAGTGTTTTGATCCAGAGTAGTTCTTGGTCGATGACTGATCGTCTAGAGTTTGTCTTGAACATTTCTCTGTGATGGTGGAGAAAGAATCCTGGTGAATGTTGGATGGGCCAGAGGAGTGGGCAGGACCTGGTGAAGGTTCTTTGGGAGCTGTCTCGGACACATGGGAGGTGGGCAAGCTGCTCTCCAGATGATCCGTATCAGTGAAATTCGTGCTGCTCACATCTGCATCCTGATCACAGGCAGAATCAGCCAAGGCCTTGACTGGGACATTAATGCTATTGTAGGTGCCGTTTTTACTCCAGAGGGTGTCGTTGCCACTAATGGGAGCAGAAGGCATTGGGTTTACAGGAAGTAAAGAACCACTAGCTGTGCTTGGGATGGCATTAGAAATTGTACTGGTGGGATTTGGTGCACAAGGGTCCTGGGGACAATGATTCATCCTACCACTAGAGGCTTCAGTAGAGATTGCAGTAGCATCGTTTAAGGAAAGTGTGTTTATGGTTGAAAAGACAGTTAAGGGAATATTGGGTTGCATAGAAAAAGAATGTCCAGGCCCCAGGAAATTGGTTTGTATTGGATGGGTCAGTATGAGTGTTTGGTTGCAAGTTGGTAAAGAATGGGTTAGTATGGTTGATTGGTTGTTGGCTGGTATTGGTTGAATTAACACAGGCATTTGGTTGTTGGCTGGTATTGGATGAGTTGGTATGGGTGTTTGGTTGTTGACTGGAATTGGTTGAATTAATACAGGCATTTGGTTGTAGGCTGATATTGGATGAGTTGTTACGGGTGTTTGGTTGTCTGAAATTGGTTGCTTTTGGTTATTGACTGCCATTTGATGAGTTTGTAGGGGTGTTTGGATGTTGGCTGGCATTGGATGAGTTGGTGTGAGTGTTTGGTTGTTGGCTAGAATTGCATGAGTTGGTATGGGTGTTTGGTTATTGGCTAGAATTGGATGAGTTGGTACAGGTGTTTGGTTGATGATAGGCATCTGACGAGTTAGTAGGGGTGTTTGGTTGTTGGTGGGCAATGGATGAGTTATAGGTGTTTGGTTGTTGACTGAAATCGGTTGTTTTTGGTTATTGACTGCCATTTGATGAGTTAGTAGGGGTGCTTGGTTGTTGGATGGTATTGGGTGAATTGGTATGGGTGTTTGGTTGTTGACGGGCATTGTATGAGTAAGTACAGGTGTTTGGTTGTTGGCTGGTATTGGATGAGTTGGTGCAAGTGTTTGGTTGTTGACTTGAATTTGATGAGTTAGTTGGGGCCTTTGGTAGTTGGCTGGCACTAAATGAGTTGGTGTGAGTGTTTGGTTGTTGGCTGGTATTGGATGAGTTGTTACAGGTGTTTGGTTGTTGACTGGAATTGGTTGTTTTTGGCTGTTAACTGGCAATGGGCGGGTGAGTATGCGTGTTTGAGAGACCTGCATAGTAGGGCAATAGGCCTTCCTACATTTGGCTGACTCAGAGATATTGTTTATTTGAGATGCTGTGCAGTTCATGAGTGGAAGACGGGGCTGAGAATAAACAGACGGGGAATAATTCATGTGAGTTTTAGGAGCAGACTGAGGAAAATATGGGACACAGTTCGATGAGGGACTGTAAGCATGCTTGGATTGCTCAGACATGACTTCATGGGATTGGACTTGGACAGATGGTGAGGAAGATGAACTCTGAAGGTCTGAAGAGGAACGTTTAGATTGATTCGGTTGGGATGGGGCAACATTGTTATATGCAGAGCGGGCCTGGTTAGAATGAGATGGCTGGCTGGGTTGAGATGGATGAGACAGACTATGAAGGGCCTGGTTCATTTGCACAATCTGAGAGGAGGCACATGGACGCAGTGTAAAACTGTTGAGAACACATTCACCCTGAACTTGTGCATCAGCACTTGAGGAGGTGGGTGCAGGATGAACATCAGTGGCAGTAAGAGGAGAATTTGGATTTGAGCTTTTCACAGACACAGACTCTAACTGAGTGGAATCAGTTCTCCGAGTGGTAAATGGAACAAGAACCTTACTAATCCTCAAAAATCCTGGGCAAAAAGATGTTAAAGAAAGGAAAAGATGTTAAATTCATAGATTTTTATAAAACGTAGGTACATTTTTCTAATAAAAAAGTGGAACGTTTTATTTTACCAAATTTCATGATGTGCCTGCAGAGTTCACTCTGAATCTGAAGGTGCAGTTCAATCATGGTCTCAGGAGTGTATGCCTTCTGGGACAGAAGCTTTTTCACCTGGGTCTCAATCTGAGTTAGAGACACAAAAAATATAGCAGGGGGCTAAACAAACATTTAGGATCTGAATGACTGCAAGTTTTAGTCATAAATATGGTAATAGAATGGTAACAAATGTATGCACTTCACCTCAAAACATATGACGGAGTTAATATTATCCTAAACAATATCAATAAATTTAGGGGGGAGGTGTCTTTAACATAATCAGTATGAATGTATTATGTAATACAATGTATTATGATATACAGTGGTGTGAAAAAGTGTTGGCCCCCTTCCTGATTTTTATTTTTTTCATTTAAAAACTGCATGTTGTGTTATCTTTGACTAATATTTAAATTTGTTTGATGATCTGAAACATTAAAGTGTGACAAACACGCAAAAAAAGAAGAAATCAGGAAGGAGGTCAACACTTTTTCACACCACTGTACAAGCAATAAGCAAAAAATAGAACAGCTTACCCTTTTTGTGTGGACCAGGAGGCAGTGGCCCTCTGTGCATAGGATCTTGTCAATAAAAGCTGCTATGTACTCCTGACAACCTTCCAAACTGTTCAGAGATGTCTTCCTCTCCAACAAACACCCCACCTCCTCCGCAAATAAGGCCTTAATATTAAACATTTAAAAATGAATCAGCGGTTACAGGCTTGAGGTTCCTGAACAGAACTGGAGATAGATAAGTCATACAAAGAATATGCTGAGTGCTTTCAGGTAATGATAAAGTATATGGGTGTTTCTCAGGGAGATTTAGTACTTTTCTTGTCTTTCTCATAAGAGGTTGTATTCTGATACCAAACGTCAGCCTTTATTGTAGCTCAGAATCTTTTGCACAGAAAGAGTAAAAGATCGTTTTTTATGATGTGATGGAAATTCTTTGATGGAGAGTTTAGAGAATGTGCTCCAACACAAACCTTTTAATGTGTATGAAATTTGAATGCTTCTTTTGTTTGTTTTGCTTAATTCCTGTTTCATATGCTGAACAGTTATATGCTTGTATTGAAATCCAAAATGTTTAAATGTATTTTGCCCTGAACTAGCAAGGTCAAAAGTACATCTAACAACATCCATAAAAGGATTTGGTACAAATGTATACTATAACTAAATCTGTCTTATGAAGTAGTCTAGGGAAATTATCTGCCTAGATGAGTGTAACCAATCAAAATGAAGAAAACCATGCAGCTCATGTAACCATGCCATTTTTATATATTCTACAAAGTATAAATAAGTGTGCATTTTTCTGTTGGTCAAACTTTAAAGTGAAGTTTTATCGAGTTATGATAAAAGAGACTGAAGCTACATAATGTAATGATGGAAATCGAAAACACATTCTGAAAATGTGAAGTATGCCAAATATTCATAATTTACCTTTCCACTGAAATATTAAAATCATGTACAGCATGCTTCAGTAAATGAGGATTATTGAGTTCTAAATGCTTACCTCTATCACCTTTAACATCTGTGTAGCTTTTAGAACCAGACTCTGATAAATGGAGTGGACTACCCGTGTCAACATCTTCTTTGCTGCTACTTTAATTTTTTCAATTTCCTGCAATCTAACAAAGATGACAATATTCTCAACAAAACAATAATTACACACAAGAAGATAAAACAGGAAATGTCTGCAAAGCGAAACCATTATAATGCAACTTTGGTTGCAAGCACATCTGCTAGAAACTGCTACTGTCCTGCAATATTTAGTGAGCTATGACGGTCTAAAAAAAAATGTTGTGATCCACTTTTTATTATACTTCATTATGTCTATTCATTCAATTCACTGAAAACATTATACAAAAACATTTCTTTTTCAAAGACATAAAAAAATTTCTTAGTAATTATTCCCTTTTTCTTCTTTTCCTTTATATATACGACTTAATTCCCTTTTCCTAATATTTTTTGTTTGTTTTCAAAAGTCTTGATCTCATTATCACCACACATTTGATAAAATCTTATGTCATTTGCCAGCCCAAGACTCAAATACATCATCTAAAGCTGTGTGGTCCACCTTTACTTCCATTGCTAATATTGCATTGTGAAATGAAAAACACGACTGAATGTTATTTCACTAATATTATATGTTTAGAAACTTCATAAATATCTTTCCCTTCTTTTAGATGCTTTCCATTTGTAATAAAAAAAATGGCTAGTAACACAGCAGCTAGTATGTGTGTTTAATTACTGAAAATCTGGCTTTTACCAATTTACGAGCATATGCTGTGTCTCTCTACCCACTCTTTACCCAAGCTTGCATTCCTTAGAGGTGATAAGAGTTCTGTGCTTTCTCTCTGGATTGGCCAATTTTGGCTCTTTGAATTTGGGCGGGGGGGTTTTTTCTTTGTTTTCAGTCATGTCAAAAATACATTAATTTACTGATCTTATTAACATTAAGTTCCTTGATTACTAATTGTTTTAACATACAGGTACGTGAATCAATATGTTGTGGAGATTTAATTACATATTCATTCATTTTTAAGTATTATTAACTGTTCCTTCATCTCTTATATTCCAAAATTGAACATCACAAAGTTGAATTAAAAGTTCTGGGTGAGAATAGGGAGGTAGTGTCTGTCTTATCAGAAGGACACAAGCTAGAGAGAGAAAACGAGACATTCTGTGCATGGGCAGACATCATTACAGACATCAATATCATTACATTTATGTGCTTGAGTAAAAGTCTTCTATACATGAATCTGTACGGTTGCAATGAATACATACCTTGTATTTTAGCCTGACTACAGATGAATTGTTAAGTTATCAAGAAAATGTTTTTTTTTGTGTGCGTGTATAAATAGAAGATTTATACACACAATAGAACAATAGAAGAATATCTATTTCAGTAATGTTTCTAGTGACCATCTGTTAGCAGGATGTAAAGTGATCTATTCCTGTATTCACTGTTGGGTCTGGTTTGATCTGCCATTAACACCTCTCCTGGTTCCCACATTCTCTTTTTTCTGTTTCTGTTCACCACTGTCCTTTTGAATAAACAGCCGTTTACACCTTGTATTAAGATTAGTCTCAAGTGACTCAGCCACTGATGCCCAGGCTAGACAGATCGTCATTTACATCTGGTAAAAACATCTCATGCGTCTCCTGTATCCACTTGTGATTGCATATCAAGGGCAGGGTCTCACTACCTCACATATGTTGATAAAGCACAAAATGTAAAATAAAAACACACTGATCTCATTATCACCACACATTTGATAAAATCTTATGTCATTTGCCAGCCCAAGACTCAAATACATCATCTAAAGCTGTGTGGTCCACCTTTACTTCCATTGCTAATATTGCATTGTGAAATGAAAAACACGACTGAATGTTATTTCACTAATATTAGATGTTTAGAAACTTCATAAATATCTTTCCCTTCTTTTAGATGCTTTCCATTTGTAATAAAAAAAATGGCTAGTAACACAGCAGCTAGTATGTGTTTAATTACTGAAAATCTGGCTTTTACCAATTTACGAGCATATGCTGTGTCTCTCTACCCACTCTTTACCCAAGCTTGCATTCCTTAGAGGTGATAAGAGTTCTGTGCTTTCTCTCTGGATTGGCCAATTTTGGCTCTTTGAATTTGGGCGGGGGTTTTTTTTCTTTGTTTTCAGTCATGTCAAAAATACATTAATTTACTGATCTTATTAACATTAAGTTCCTTGATTACTAATTGTTTTAACATACAGGTACGTGAATCAATATGTTGTGGAGATTTAATTACATATTCATTCATTTTTAAGTATTATTAACTGTTCCTTCATCTTTTATATTCCAAAATTGAACATCACAAAGTTGAATTAAAAGTTCTGGGTGAGAATAGGGAGGTAGTGTCTGTCTTATCAGAAGGACACAAGCTAGAGAGAGAAAACGAGACATTCTGTGCATGGGCAGACATCATTACAGACATCAATATCATTACATTTATGTGCTTGAGTAAAAGTCTTCTATACATGAATCTGTACGGTTGCAATGAATACATACCTTGTATTTTAGCCTGACTACAGATGAATTGTTAAGTTATCAAGAAAATGTTTTTTTTTGTGTGCGTGTATAAATAGAAGATTTATACACACAATAGAACAATAGAAGAATATCTATTTCAGTAATGTTTCTAGTGACCATCTGTTAGCAGGATGTAAAGTGATCTATTCCTGTATTCACTGTTGGGTCTGGTTTGATCTGCCATTAACACCTCTCCTGGTTCCCACATTCTCTTTTTTCTGTTTCTGTTCACCACTGTCCTTTTGAATAAACAGCCGTTTACACCTTGTATTAAGATTAGTCTCAAGTGACTCAGCCACTGATGCCCAGGCTAGACAGATCGTCATTTACATCTGGTAAAAACATCTCATGCGTCTCCTGTATCCACTTGTGATTGCATATCAAGGGCAGGGTCTCACTACCTCACATATGTTGATAAAGCACAAAATGTAAAATAAAAACACACTGGATCACTTTTTTATGCTTTATTATTATCATTAATTCATTTTTTACACCGTTTAAACCTGTATTTAACATTGAAAATGGATGGTAAGCTGAGTCTTTCACTTTTAAGGAACTTCAAATCACTAAAAGTTTTCTTTAGAAAGTTGGTAAATGATTTTGACACATTATAGATGGATTTAAATGGATCATAGTATGAAGCTAATGATAGTCTGTGCCCCTCACACACTATGCAATAATTACTACCCCAAACCTGCAGACTGCCTATAAATTCGGCCAACTAGCAGTGACACGTCCAGACTGCAATCGAGGCAAAAATAAAATAAAACATTTGTAGTGTATTTCAGCCTTCACCAATTTTCCTTAAAGGGACAGTCCACAAAAAAAGGAAAATTCTGTCATACTTTTTATACATTTCTTTCCTCGGTGGAATTCAAAAACAGAGACATTTCTCAAAATACCCTTTTTATCTACCACAGAAGAAAGAAAATCAGTTTGGAATAAGAGGAGGGTGAGTAAATGTTGACAGAATTATCTTTATCCCTTTAAGAAATATGGGTGAAACAAGGATGTGACAGACTGTTCATTTATCTCAGTGGTTCTCAATTCCAGTTCTGGGGACCCACTGTTCTGCACATTTTATCTGACACACTTAGTTCAGTTCATGGATCTCTCTCCAAACTGATGATCTGAATCAAGAGTGTTAAATAAGTGAGACATGCAAAACGTGCAGAGCAGGGGGTCCCCAGGACTGGAATTGAGAACCAGTGATTTAAATGGTGTACTGTAGATTTGACCAAGATAAGACGCAAGTCCACATGGCTCCATTCAGTTACCTTGCCTCTAGGAGCAGCAGGCTGCTGATGACCGTCTCTTTCTGATGTCTGATGGAGTCCAACAAACTCTGCAGCTGCTGTCTCTGAGATCCCACAGCTTCCTCCTGCTGCACAAAACTGACACATAGATGGACATGTAAAAACATGGACATAGAGTGTGTGTGAGATTGAAAAGCAGAACATCCTGTGCCTGCTGTGTTTTGCTGCGCTTGCTATATTTTTGGGCATAGACATTACTCAATGGTCATAAGACATACCACTGCCATATTAGGACATTTTAGCCCTTGCTACATTTTCTTATTGCTCAATATTTCACTTCTGCTCGACTCTATATATACGCATCACATAACCAATAAAACTGAACCTAGATTGAACTGCACCACTTGTGTCTGTTTCATTCTGGGCTCCCGGGTACCTGTCTCCTCTGCTCCATAACCCAACCGGATAATCAGATAACCACTTTGGATCTCTGCAATTACTTAAAATACATTTATTTTAACACTGTGATAAGGTATTGTTGAGGAGGAATATCAAAATATATAAAATATTTTTGGTCTAACTCCAAGTATCACAAAGTTTTACAGCTAAGCAAATAGGGAAACAATAACACAAAACGCAAAAAAATGCCCATATAGTATCACATGCACTGATCTGAGTGGGATGATATGGACTATACCTGTGGCCCCTATGAGTGATCAGCTGACAGTCCTTACAGGTGAGCTCTTCACAAACAAGACAGAAGAACCTCAAGCTCTCCTGAGTGTGTGAGGGACAGCGTCTTCTCTGTATCCAACCTGAACAAAACAAATAACAGAACAGATCTGATAATAAACAGAAGCACAGATGTTTATAGTGTAAGAGAAAATATTATTTTCTCTATGTATATCAATGCCACTGCTTATGCATGATTTTGTTAATCTTATATAAATTAAGAGATTTCCTTGCATAACTTTTAAATCATGAAAGATGATGTTTGACGTATATACAGTGGGGAAAAAAAGTATTTAGTCAGCCACCAATTATGTGTAAATCATTATTTTTAATGTATTGAAAACAGATTTTCTACCTTAATTGTTCAATAATAAATGATGTTTTTGATGAAAGGATTAGAGAAGGAGGACAAAAGTAATTGTCTCCCTCTAATGTTTTAAGCTTAAACAAATGCTGTAAAAAAAACTTGTGTACAATGCCTCAATCTGCAGAATCTGTTTTGCTTAGAGCTTATGTAGCTCTCTGAGGTATGTTTTGGTTGAAAGAGAAACTACCCTGATCACGATTTCAGACAAATAAATTTGATTTGATCATTTTACCACTGAGTGGTCTGACTTTAATTTTACAGGTGAATTTCCACCACAATAGCAGTGTTAGTCTGAAGTGTGTATGGACTTTTAAGTCTAACCTGTGGGTGGTTTTTTGGGTGTGACTTCATGGTCACGGGTCACTTTTACCCTATGATGAGCAGATATACAGTCCAAACAAAGGGCCTCCTCACACTGGACACACCATCCACTAACCTCACTCTCTTCACACCCGGCACACTGAAAAAAGATTAAATTAACATTTTGCATTAAGATTTACAATGGAAGACAGAGGAAATGCCTCCTTTATGTCAGTGCTGGAATTCTTTGGATCAGTTTAAAGTGCATATTGCAGGTAAGAGACCCAGTGCGTCTAGAATTCTATTTAAATTCTAATTCCTATACATGTATAGAAAAATAATGTTATAAGTTTAAAATATACTTATAAATATGCTACTTGAGGCTTCTGGAGTGGTTTTTGTGAGAAAATTTTACTTCCGCATCTGAAAAACGGCAAAACCGGAAGTGACGTAACAAGAGGGAGTGTGGTCAATTTAAACAATAGGAAAACAATGGATCGCAATGACAGTTCGGACACTGAGGAAATTGTAAATGTTTATTCATACTTGAATAACGGACCACAGCCATTCAATTATGAGCCTGCTATGTGGCCAAGAGAGCAGGGACAGGCCAGGATTATTCTAATAATTATTAAAGATTATCCTTGCCATTGATCCTGGTGACCACGAACTCGACTACGAATAACTTAGCTAAGAGGTCTTTGTGTCTGCGCAAATAAGAGAGAATCGCTATTCCTTCCTTTCACTTCTCAATGAAAAAAAAACGCAGACACAGAGAGAACATACAAACTCCACACAGATGTTTTTTATTCACAATAAGCTGCAGAATACGTAGAAACCTGAACCTAAAAGGACTATATAATGAATTGCGCTTTGGTTCCTATTTTAGAACGACTTTAAAAAGTAATTGTAGACTAGTTACAGCGAAAAATTATTATTATAATAAATGTGTGTGTGCGCGTGTGTATATATATATATTTTTTTTTATGTGGGGCTGGGTTTTTCACATGACACATAAATGATGATATATTTCAAAGAGCAAATTCTGCTGTTTTCCACATGCACCGCGATCTCTGGCAGTTCATTATAATGTAGTATAATAAACATATCCTATCACACAGTATTCAAATCTGGAACAAATGAGCTTTTTTCGAGATTAATGCATATATTTGTGTGTGTATTGCAGTTCTAAAATATTGATTTAATGTTATACACAGTAACTGTTATGCTTACATTTAGGCAGAACCTTAATTTTTTTAGGTGCATGGCACCAAATTGTTATTATTATTGTTAAGTGAAATAATTAAATTACTGTGTATAACATTAAATCATTAAATATACATATACTTTATAATAAAACCTAAAATATTTTTTCACTGTAACTAGTCTACAATGACTTTTTAAAGTCTTCTAAAATAGTTAAGTCTGGGGTTTAATGACCCTTTAAAGAGCTCGGGCAGATAAAGCAGCAGCATGTGCTTATAATAATCAATAAATGTAAAATGTATCTTTATCTTTATATTTATCGTTCTTTATGTGAATGGCCCTTTATATGAATTGGCAAAATCTTCTACAAAAAGAGTAGGGACTGAACTGAATGTACCAGTTGATTCAAAACTTTCTCCATAATCTGTGCACTCTTACCTTGGGGGCCTCGTTATTGTTAGACGTGTCTTCAAAAATGGCACATTCTGTGACCTCAGACAAACAAAATGACTGTGCACATAATGGACAATCTAGATGAAGAAAGAAACAAAAGCCTCAGACACACTAAAATTAAACAGTTCTACAATATGGAAGGCCACTTCATTAAATTCTAACTACTCATCATGCTGTTGATTAGCAAACATTGAAGAAAGCACAAATGTCATTTATTAAAGTAGGATGATTTATTAGAGTAGGAGAAATTATACAAATAAAAAGCACTGTAAATATTTCTACTTTACACCTTGTTTGCTTGACAGTTTTATCAACAAAACTTAACTGATTTTTAACAAATCATTTATATTGAAAAATGCAATTTTCTTTCAGCAAAGGGATGAATTGTGGTATTCTTTAAAGGGGTCATATGATGCGATTTCAAGTTTTCCTTTCTCTTTGGAGTGTTACAAGCTGATTGTGCATAGATAAGATCCCTGAAGTTGCAAAGACTAAAGTCTCAAAACCAAAGAGATATACTTTATCACGCCCCCCTAAAACGGCTCGTTCTAACACGCCCCCACATATCTACCTCACTATGTGGAAATATTTGCATAATGCCGCCCAAATGTTCACGCAAAGAAAGGCGGCGTGGCTTCAGTAACCGCAGTTTGTATTGAAGCAGCCATGTCATCATATGACCCCTTTGATGTTAAAGCAAAAATGCAACATGTAAATGACAAAACATATTCCATATGTAAACATGACACTAATTTCGTCATGACATTAAAGAAACGCAGCGTTTCTATTTGTCACGCACTGTACAGTGGCCACTTTAAAAAATATATATTTTTAGATTTCTCTTCGAAACTTCCTGTATCGACAGGAAATGCGTCAGTAAGCTGCGTTTTCTTTTTTTTTTAGATCAGCATCATTACTGTGCGTTCATAAAATGTATATACAATGTTATATACAATAACAGTATATACAATGTTTGTTTAGTATGTAGATTTAAAAAATAATAATAATAATAAAAAATAAAGTATATCGGGGCTAGTTGTAACTGTTCATATGGCCCCCAGTGGAAAACACAACCTGGCCCCAGACATTAACTTGAAGACCCCTTATGTAAATAATCGTCGGGACTACAGTCAATTAAACCTGTGTGAGCCTATTTCGACGCGATTATAAAAACGTCACGCGCAGAGTTGGACTTTAACGAGAGCCCCAATAAAACCAATCAAACTTAACAGTAACAGTTACAAGCGAGTTCTCACCTTGTGTGGCTCCATCTGTGCAGATCTTCGTAAGACAAGTATTGCAAACTATATGCAGGCAAGGGAGAAGTCTGGGGTCTGCAGAAGAGTTTAGGTGTACTTCGCAAACAGCGCAGCATCCGCAAACAGTTCTTTGTAAAACCGGATGAGGCGACGCTGGACGCCCTGTTTGGCGAGGGGTAAACATCTGTTTCTTAAAACTAAATTAATATAATCAGAGGTGTAACAGCAGATGAAATGTATCTTGATGCGCCTCACGGGAAAATCGACGCGTTGCGCTTATTATTGTATGAAGCATTCGTGAAGCTAACGGTAAGCCCTTCTTCTTCTTCTTCTTCTTCTTCTTCTTCTTCTTCTTCTTCTTGGTGTTTAATGGCGGATGGCATACAACTTTTAGGTGCATTACCGCCACCTACTGATTAGGAGTGTGGATCAGGACCGTACTCTTCACTAAATTCTATTATATAATCCCGTATCTAGGTTGGGTATCAGGTCTACTGTACGAATGCAGGCAGCGTGTGAGGAATGCATATTTTTAGGGGTCCAATCACTGAAGGTGCTGGAACGCTATCGTGTTTGTATTGATTTTCTTCATCTTCCCACATGCACCGCTACCCAACGTTGCACAGACACACCTCAACCTGACACTAGATGGCGCTATAATAAGGTACTTCAAAAAAGATGACTTTTTTTAATCGCATGGTTTTTAATAATATGCTTTTGACTTGTTTGTACATCGTGTCAAACTGAATATTTCGTGAAAATCACCCACAAGGTAGTACTGTTTTATAGTACAATTGTTCTTATAACGTATATATAAATATAAAAACAATATTTACATTTGGTCATTTAGCAGACAATTTAATTTATCCAAAGCGACTTATAGAACAATAGAAGCAATCAAAACCAACAAAGGGCAATAAAATGTAAGTTCTGTGACAAGTCTTGGTTAGCGCAGTACACATATTTAAATATCCCCAAACAAGTATTGCTGCTTCAGGTTAGGGGTTGCACTTGCACAGACGACTCTGTGCTGGTTTGTATTGGCCGCCTCCAGTTATCCCTTTGTTTTGCCTCCAGCTAATGGACTTGCAAGACGCTAAAGCCTAAATGGAAGGGTGAACAGGACCACTCATGTCAGCCTGCCAGACACAAAGCTGACTGCAGACAGAAAACAGCAGGGTGGCCATGACAGGAGTTGCTTTCTGATATTCATCATGTCTTACTCCATGACCTGAAAAAAATACATTAAAATAAAATTTGTGTTTGTATTGATTTTCTTCATCTTCCCACATGCACCGCTACCCAACGTTGCACAGACACACCTCAACCTGACACTAGATGGCGCTATAATAAGGTACTTCAAAAAATATGTCTTTTTTTAATCGCATGGTTTTTAATAATATGCTTTTGACTTGTTTGTACATCGTGTCAAACTGAATATTTCGTGAAAATCACCCACAAGGTAGTACTGTTTTATAGTACAATTGTTCTTATAACGTATATATAAATATAAAAACAATATTTACATTGGTCATTTAGCAGACAATTTAATTTATCCAAAGCGACTTATAGAACAATAGAAGCAATCAAAACCAACAAAGGGCAATAAAATGTAAGTTCTGTGACAAGTCTTGGTTAGCCTAACGCAGTACACATATTTAAATATCCCCAAACAAGTATTGCTGCTTCAGGTTAGGGGTTGCACTTGCACAGACGACTCTGTGCTGGTTTGTATTGGCCGCCTCCAGTTATCCCTTTGTTTTGCCTCCAGCTAATGGACTTGCAAGACGCTAAAGCCTAAATGGAAGGGTGAACAGGACCACTCATGTCAGCCTGCCAGACACAAAGCTGACTGCAGACAGAAAACAGCAGGGTGGCCATGACAGGAGTTGCTTTCTGATATTCATCATGTCTTACTCCATGACCTGAAAAAAATACATTAAAATAAAATCAAATAAAAATCATCGAAAAGGGTTTATGATTACATGACTAAACTGACAGAAAAAACATTTAGCTGATCTTATTGTTTTTCTTATGACCGCTATTATGGCATTTTGTTATTTGCTTTGTTTTAGTGTGTATTCTTGCATATTAATTTGACTAAATGCACTATTAATCTGTTTTTGTGGCATACTTTTGTTTGAAGTTAGTCCAATGTCTGTTATTTCCCTCTGTCTTTTGAAGGTTAGAGAGTAGACATATTTCCATTATCATGATTAGGTCCAAATGAACAAATAACTGAAGAGGCTGAGTGCAAACTCTATTGCTGTTTCTCTCTATCAGCCATCGAATGAACATTTAAGACATTTAGGACCTTGACTTTTCTTCTGAAATAATTTACTCAGGTCTTACTAAATGTCTCTCTGTTGTTATGTTGTGGAGAAAAGTCTTCTCTATCTTGCACAATAATGCTCAGAAGGCAGAGTTCCAGAAGTCAGAATTAGACTTTATTGCAAAAAGACAACAAGGCCGAGATGCCTGCAGAACATCTGAATCTGTCTCTGACATCTTTATACAGTTTCGTTATCGGTCACTGTCCAATGAGAGTTCAGAACATTCTTTGATACGTCAATCCGTCTTCCATAACACTTCTTTCATTGTAGAAAACCACCTGCTAGTCTGTTTTTCAAAAGATAACTTCTCTTATCTACCACTTTCTAGGTGCCCAAGGTTGCAGAGGCATATGCATTTTAGGATTTTAAGAAGCTGTTAGGATTTTAATGAGTTTTACACACATTAAACATTTCTGCACTTTCTCATCCTGTAGCATCTCCAATCTCCGGTTCTTCCTTCTCTATTCTCTATTCATAAGCGCAGTCATGTAGGCTATAAGGCCTACACAGTCAGTCAGTTTGATCTTGAGGTCTTCAAAATGCACCTGGCTCTCAAATGTGGCAGAATAGCTTACACAAACATACAAGTAACGTATAAAATATAATAAATATAATATTTCATCAGTTGCAGATATGTAGTTTAATGAGACATGTACCTCTGTTCTTACTCTTATCTGTGCAGACTTTCGAAGTCCATGACAGACGTCATTTAAAAATAAGAAAATGGAGGAAGTGAGAAACGTAAGTGAAATGTTTTTCATATTGTATTTATTTCAGGGAACTAAACCACCATTGTCTTTCAACTAGTTTGACCAGAAAAGTTCTCATATGCTCAGAGCTGCAGACCTCATGTATATCATATATATGCAGTACAACCGCAGAGTCCAAAGCAGAACACAAAAATGTGCTAAATAGAGCTGGCTTTTTAAAATCAGTGGTTAAATATAATGAATATAAATGTATCTTATGAATGAGGAGCAAAAGACAGGAGAGAACCAAGGTGTACCAAATTTAAGGAACAATAAATTATCTGTACTCTTAGCATAAAGGTGATTAATGACAAACCATCATTAGTTGCATCAGCATCTTCCAGCAAAAGATGTTTTTGCCTCAGTGTCATTTTTTTATGTCTGTTTTTCTTTTATTTTTGAACTTTAAGTTAACCCCTCATGTTGTGTTATGATGTACATGTAAAAATAATAATACTGATTTTGAAATAAACCTCTTTTCATTTCATAGGCCTACATCTTTAATTCTAAAAAATTAAATTTCTGTTTGAGGTCAATTTGACCCCAGCAAAAACACACACACTCCGTGTCAGCATGAGAAACAATACAATAAAAGAAGAAGAAAAAAACTTTCTCTCTATATATCAAAATCTCAGATAGCCAGACAGTGATTCATCATCTATGAATTGTTCAAATATTGGTGTCCAGGATGCCATGAGTCCGGGGACTGCAGTGTACATTGTGAGTTTATGAAAGTTTAGCTTCAAATGTGATATGAATAAATAGGGCTCATAAACTTTTGTTGAGATTCTCAATTGAATCATGCAGAAGTTTAGACACTGAAAAAGTATTCCCTACATCACAACTTATTACGGTATTAAAAATACATCCTCATTTGTATCCTCTATTCCACCATTACTTTTATGTTGTACTGTATATCTAGGTTCTTTACACAAACATAAGTGATGTTGAATGTTTTTTTTAATTATCACTCAATTTAAATAATCATGAAGTTTCACCTTGATGCTTTTTGATATATTTTTAAGTAATTAAAATGGTCTTGGAACCTTTTAATTTGGACATTTTAACATCAGCGTTAAATAGTAAGTAGATCAATAAAGACCATCTCCATCAATTTTAAGAGCGCTTTCATTACACCTGTAAACTTCAAAGATCATTCAGACTGAGAAACCTTTAGCACATATTTAATAATATCAACACAGATAATCACATTTTGTTACCATAAAGTTAACTACAGTACAGAATATGTGGCGTCACATCTCCATTTCCCTCTACAATATATTTTGCTCACATTTTCTCTTTTGCGATGCATGTCAGTCCGCACAAACAGACTTGTGGCCCACAGTTATATCAAATATGATCACAGTTGTCACATCAAACAAAACACATAACAAATAATTTCCAGTTGTATATGTATGTAAAACAAAAGAAAAAAAAAAGATTGGGCAGGTTGAAAGTGACACAATAATACAAAAACCTGCAGCACCAGAACAAATGAGGAAGTAAATTAGCCACTAGATCTTACTGGCCAGGCAGGTGTGGCTCAGGTTACACAGATGAAAGAGATTACTCATGGTCTATGTCGTAAGGGCTTGTTGGGTATTTATTCAGGAAGCTCTGTAACAACACTTAATTATTATAAGACCTCAGCGAATATACCAAAGAATCCAATAGAGTGACATGTACAGTATTGCAGAGGGTGATGGGAAATAGAAGCTGCTGATTTGATGTGTTTTTCTCAGGGCTGTGGTGGACACCGACACAATGTTGATCGGTCTTGTTTGCTCAGGGCCGGTCTTACATCAGACTACATTTCACACATTTTGCTTGTTTCTCTTTGCTCAGCAATCCAAACTGAGCAGTGGCCAGAGAATCAACCAATCGCCAAAAATCCTTGAATGCGACACCCTTCCCCTCTTCCACATTCAGGTCCGTCAGGAGTTTGTTGAGTCCTTCCTGGTCCCCTGCTGTCTGAAAGAGAATAGAGGGTGTGGGAAACTTAACAAAAATTATCATGATAATTTCTCATATTTATTTTAAGTGTAATTTAGGTCTGTCCTGGACAAAACATGGACATTAACCCAGCTAAAAAAATATATGTTTTAAGAAATGTAAGTTTTGTCAAAGCTCTCTGTTTGCTGGGAAGTAAACCATTGTTGATTATGGCAATGTAGCTTTTAGGTTGATATTATAATTAATAATATTGTACTTAAGTGGTGTCACGATTGGATTGTAGGTCCTGACTTACCTTCACCATGGTGGGCAGCTCTTTGGAGATCATGCTCTGGAACTCCTGGGCTGTGAGCGTGTCAGCATTAGTAGGAGATGCTGAATGGAAGTTTTTGACCAAGGTGTGTATGGCCAATTCTAGATCTGTGTACTACAGAGTGAGAATAGTTTCAGACTCAAGCACAGCTAAAAAGAAACATCTCTCATTGACAGAAACCACCCTTCGACACATAACGGCAAGGCTTTGTTGCATTCCTCATGAAATCCTCCGTTTATCAGTTGTAATCCGTTTGCTTGCTGGTGAACAGGAGCTGTAGAGACCTGTTACTACCTCGATCTAGACTACTCTTACAATACATTCCTGTGCTGGACTGTTTAGCATGACTGACATCTACTTTGGGCGTTGGTCACAAAAAAAAAAAAAAAGACACATAAAAGCAAATTACAAGTAAAATAGGTTTTTTTCAGTTTTAGCGTGTTTAAAATGACATTAAAAATATTCATACTGTTTATGTATAATGTAACTTGCAATTGTATTTGCACGACTGCGATTAGTCCACATTGACCAGATTAAGAATACAAATAAGTTACATTTGATCAAAGTAACTACATTTAATTCATTTTCTGCATTTGCAATATCGAAAGGAAATTATGAAGAAAATATATTGGTGAAATATAGCTACAAGTGGATCTTGTAAGTAAACGAAAACATAAACGATTTAAATACAACAACAATAAAAGCTTACCTGTGTGGCCATTGGGCTTGTTTTATGTTCCATGCGGAAACTAGAGCAGGTGAAGTGAAGTGAAGTGACGGTATTTCATCACCTGACCAGCGGCGCCTCCGATCCGATCCGATCCGACCCGCCCCGCCCACTCTTCACGCGCACGAGGGGGATGTTCACGCTTTTATAGTGTTGAGAGTTTCTATGGGAATATGTTGTGTACGGAATATGTGTTAATTTGCGATACACACAGAGATTGGCTGGTATTTCTTGGTTTAATGTAAAAAAAGATGGAAATAGTTAAAATATTTGTTTTACTGTTAAGAAACTGCAGCTCATACTCAACATTCCTCCGATAACCATGTAAATGTAATGTAACCAGACCAACCGCATTCTGACAGATGTGATGAGATTACATGAGATAACATTTGAACATTTTTTGTAGTTTCATCATGCATGCCTATGTTGCAGTATGGACAAAGCGATAAAATATAATAAAAACACACAGCCTACTCCAACTGGTATAACATAACAGATTTATATTCAACACCAAAGAATCTGTGAAAGCATAAAGCAGCTTTGGCCTTAAACTCTGTTATTAACCTCGACATTTTGATGTTGTTGATCCATATTGATCCTGATCGGAAATACAAAAAAGACAAGGGTAATACTGCTAGTTTGAAAGATGCCCTGTGCATGTTTAACTCAAAAGTATGTGACAAAGCTGCTCAGTTACTCTGGACACCTGGGCCCGTATTCACAAAACTAAATGCACACATTTAGTATTCACTAACTTTCTCTTACTTTAAGAATTGAATGAATGTTGATAATGAATTCATAATAAAAGCAAACTGAAAATAAACTATTTTGTCCCATTGTCCCTTAACAAGCCAAACCTGTACACATAAGTGTTTGTCCTCCATGAGGCATAATTCTCTTTATAGATCAACTTTTACAAGCATTAAGAAGGTCTCAAGGTGACCAGCATAGTAAATAATTGACAAATAATTTACATTTATGAATCTTTTGAATGAATGAATGAATGAATCTTTTGTTTTCCTACTTTCTCTCTTTCAGGATGGTACCTGGCACACACAAACCTCTGTAAATGTTTGACATAGCCACTAGCAATCACAATAAACAGAGCAAAGCCATAAAGAAGACCTTTGATTGGAGGGAAGACAAAGGTCAGACATATAACCAAATGAAAATGAAATGTTTGCATATGTCTACTGTTTTTGCTATCACTGAGTTATGATGACTAGTGCAGTTGTACAATATAAAAAAATTAAAAAGCTAACTAAAATAAAATTAAATATATATATTAAAAACAACAGTAGTTGAATTCTAGTTAAGGTTTCAGTACAATTATCTTAAATACACTTTGAGTTGACACAGACATCATTAGCACATTAGTGAATTTGTATTAGTACGGTATTTGTGGTTGCGGCTGTGTTTTGACTGTGGTATGTTCCATCTGTTGTTCCAGTCTTGACCACTAGGAGTCACTGTAAAACAACAGACATCTAGACTGACAGTACAAATGTTTTTTTTGTACAAATGTCTAATGGTACTTGTATTGTAGTTATTACCAATGAGTAGGTATCTCATGTAGTCAATAACATTTCTTGCTAAGAACAGTGATGTTTCCTTTCTGCAGGATGTCAAATGAGGCTGCAATGTCCCTAAAGATATCTGAGGCGTAACCAGATCCATTCACTTGTATTGCAACCACTACAGGTGGTTGCAATACAAAATATATGGTAGAATAAAATATATGGTAGAACATGCTAGACGGATAACAAATATATAGAGAGTAAGCAAATCATTGACATATTACTATTTTATTTGAATGTAAAAATGTTTAAATATGTATTGCAATGTGAAAATAAGAGTGACAGTGCCAATATACTAAATTACATTTTTTGGAATGCAACAAAGAAAAACATGCATTGAAACCATGTTGTGATTTTCACTTTGTGTACCTTCGGTCACGATTTCAGATTAGTTGATCCAACACTGTACCAAAATTGTACAAAATCATACAAAATGTCCTAAAAATCAAATATCGAAATTGATCAATATTGCAATGAACTGCGTAGGCCCAAACAATATGCAAAATTGTTAATATGACATAGACTAAATGGAAAACATTGACAATTTAGGTTTCTAAATGTTAGTTTCATTTATTTTGAGTAGTCAATTTCATGGTCTCTGAACAAAATGCAGTTATTTCATAATTTTATAATATTATAGTTTTTTTTTTACTGTATCTTTGATCTAATAAATGCAGCCTTTGTGGGCATGAGACTTCATTCAAAACTTACTGACCCCAAACATTTGAACAGAAGTTTCGCAGGTTAAAAGGATAGTTCACCCAAAAATGAAAATTTGATGTTTATCTGCTTACCCCCAGGGCATCCAAGATGTAGGTGACTTTGTTTCTTCAGTAGAACACAAACGGAGATTTTTAACTCAAACCGTTGCAGTCTATCAGTCTTATAATGTAAGTGAATGGGAATCACGGCTTTGGGAGTCAAAAAAACATACACAAACAAAACCAAATTAAACCCTGCGGCTCGTGACAATACATTGATGTGTAAAGACACAAAACGATCAGTCTGTGCAAGAAACTGAACAGTATTTATATCGTTTTTTACCTCTGATTTTCACCGCAATGTCTGAACTGTCCTGAGCGCGTTCTCACCCCTCGTGCCTCCATGATGCCCCAGAAGTCTGCCACAAGGATCTGAGCTCTCTTATAAAATGAGATCCTCTTACCCTACAATATCAACAAAATGTGAGGTTGACACTGACACAAACTGTCTGAAAGAACCAGTTCATGGAAAAGAATCTGATTTAGCCTGAGGCTGTGGATTGTGAAAATCAGAACGATATAAATACTATTCAGTTTCTTGCACAGACCGATTGTTTTGTGTCTTTACACATCAATGTATCGTTGTATCGTC